ATTGTAAACTAGAGTTGGGACTAGAACCCAGACCCATGGACTTGGTCAAGAACTTGGTACAGGATGAGATTCCTTTTTTGGCCACTAGGTGGTGATAATTTGTTGTGAAGAGAAAATGGATATAATTTAGGTTTAACTCTGATCTGGGATGTATAGAACCTGACATCTGATATGACCAGATTATAAGAATTTTGATAATATGAGCACACGATCAGAATTTTGAAGTAGGGATAATCAAGTGCTTCTGGAAGTACACCTGAGTGATTTACATGGATGCTCTAAATACCCATCACGAGGGAAATGGTTAAGGGAGTTATGGTCTGTTAATGCAATCAAGCATTATGTCACCATCAAATACTGTACATACACATAAAAGGCATTTAATAATTTTGTGTTCAATGAATAAAAAAATAATTATGGAGCTTTGAGATTCTGTTGAGAGACTCTTAAATCAGAAAGACTTTCTTTTATTACATGAAATGAAAAGTACTTTTACAGTGTTTAACTGTTAAAATGAATTTTTAAAAAACATATCAAAATTATGTATGGGCAGAGAGATTTTGGATGACTGATTTTATTTCTGTCTGTATGGTAGAAACACTTTGCACAGTGGGTGTATACTAATATATTAATTTTATAAGATTTAAAATAAAAATGGTAGTTGGAACTACCAGCCTAGCACCAGAATTTCCAGGCATTCTTGCCCTGATCTGACACAGGTTTCTTCTGAAGCTCTTTCTTGGAGCTAAAACTTAAGAATGATAGCATTTTTTTACTTTCTTTTAACTGATATCTCTTAATTAGTCAGCTTATGTTTCGTCAACAACAATTATTAGAACTTTAAAGATGTGAGACTGCTGTTCGAACAGCTTTCCATAGAAGATGATATTTTGTTTATCCTATAAATGTTGTAGGAGAGAAAAATATACAGATAAATATACCCAAATCTTTTGAGGCCATCACAATTCGGTCTGTAGGATAATTATAATGTTTCAATACTTAAATGGAAGAATTGTTGAAATTTGGAAGGAGGGTGGATTTTTTATTATATTTTTAAAATCCTATTCAATTGATGTTAAACTTGAATTGTAAGTATTTTTCCCTCTGGACTTTGTTTCCAGATAGATTAGCTTATTTTTCCCAGTATAGTTTTTTTATACATTGTTTCTGTTTTATTTTATTTAAAGAGTTCATAAAAGCTAGATTTATTATTTTTTTAACATGTTTTATTCAGCTTGTTAATCTTAAATGTATGTTGAAATGTTAACCCCCGACGTTTTAATATTTTGCCAGCAACTATAAATATACATTATAATCATTACCTACAATGAGTTTACTATTTGGTATTTACTTATTGAACAGTATATTTTATATTGCATTTTAGATATTTAGATGGAAAGTGAATTCAAATAACGAGTCCTTTGTGTTACATTTTCTTCTGTGAGAAAAAAATACACAAAGTCCCTTTTCACGGGAGTGTCCGATGCTAACGGTGATTTTATTGTCAAAGATGGCTGATGAGAAATTGCAGATTACCTCACAATATTATAAATGGGTAAGGGGCTTACATTAAAACTGTAAATAATAAGATTTCAATGAGTACATTTTTCTTCCTTACAAGTTACGAGAATTGAGCATGAGGTTAAATGTTTGCAGGATTCATTTAGGTTTGTTCATAGTGACATTTCATATGTGAGAAAATGTTTTCTTAACTTGTTAGGCTGGTGCCATCAAGGGGGCTCTGAACTATATAAAGTGATCACATTACCCTGGTCAATAAAAATGAAATGATGGCGGGGAGTTTCATGTGCAAAATGTTCTCAATAGGTATGCTCTTAAAATCACTTTTTAAATGTTTTTGCTTACTCGTCTATTTTTTGTGGTGTGATTTAAAAAAAAACAAAAACCTTTCATATGAAAAGATTACATTTAATGATCTTAGCCTCAACATTATCTTTTTATGAAATATTAATGTTCTTTTTACTTCATTTATATATTTTAAAGCTTTTTTTCAATCTGTGGTGCAGCTTAGATTATCTAGAACTTGATTGTCCAATATAACCTTTAGCCAGATATGACTATTTCAATTTAAATTGAAACTATTTTAATAGTTTTTAAATTTAATATTAGTTACAATGAAATAAAATTAAGCATTTAGTTCCTCAGTCACACTTAGTCACAGTCAGTGTGTCCACTGGGTACATATGGCAAAAATATAATTTAAGCTGTTGAATTTCTCCAGAAAATAGAAACTTTGTTCCTACAGCCTATGGATTTCCCTTAAATAAGGATTATATTTTGACTTTCTGTTCTGACCCGTTATACTTAATTTTGAATTGTCTGCCTTGCAGCTATGGATATTTTTCTGAGGCTGTGATCCTCATATATGCAATTCATGGGCAGTAGAGCTTTTAAAAAGCAGGCGTAGGCGTTGAGATGGTTCGTGGGGCTGGGCTGAGTCTAGCCGTCTATTGGTTTTAAGGAGCCAGATTCAGGAATCATTGGCCTGGGACACGCTAACCATTCACTCCTGAGCTTTACCTTTGTATCAAGTCAGATCACCAAAAAGCTACGTGTCCTGATGATATAAGCTTTCTCCTTGCAGAAATATTCTTACGGAACTGCACCTGACATTGTTCATTTATTTATTCAAGCACAGGGAGGGCATATCCGTGAGCAACACAGACAAAAATGCCTGCTCACAGGAACCTTACAGTCTGGTGAATGTTAAGTCTTTCTGTTCAGGACTTGTATAAAAGAATCAGTAGCGGAAGTGGCTGTGTGTAAAATGTCTGATTTTGAATTTTATGTTTAATAAGGATCAACTCGATAAATTCGACCCAGGCATTCAATGCTACGAAAAGTTTCCAGTACAATTTGGTCTGATTCCGTCTGCTAGAGAGTATTGCATTGCTCCAGGGAAGCAGTTAAATGTCCAGTCGCACCCCCAATTCTGCTACTCCCCATATTATTGTCTCTGTCCCCTTTTCCCTTTTGTTTCTTCTTGATCTGTCACTCTTTACCCAACCCCATCTCTCCTTCCTTCTCATTGTCCCTTCATTTTCGAGATGTAGTTTTATTGTTAACAATGTGTTTGATTATAAGCAACCTTGAATTCATTTTGTAAGTAAATGGTGAAAAGAGGGGAGATTGGAAGAGATGAAGGCAGTAGAAGTAAGCATTTGCTCAGTGAACTTTCAGGAAGGCTAAAATTATATTCTGGGAGGTATGGAGTCTTATTCCTGAACTAAAAGTAGACTTCTGTAGACTTGACAATAACTATAAATTTTGAAAGTCCTTGCTGTTTTAACTTTCATAAGCACTTAATAAGCATTTATGTAATAGGTTTTAAAACTTGATGGAAACCTTCGAGATCTTCTTGTTCAGATACATAATTTTACTGGAAATGAAATAATTGTGTCTACAGTAAGCTCTTCATATTTTAATAGGGCATGTCAAAAATTTATTGATGCACAAATTTATAGATAATGTAGCCCATGGCTTTTAACCTTTTTGGGAATCTGAGGCACATATGCAAATTTTACATACAATTTTAAGATATTTATGCTCCCTCCTTTCCCGCCAAGCTTATTCATGAATGTCTAACTAGATAATGTGTATCTGGGTGTAGTGTAGGGTTATTTTGAAAGAGCCTTTCAGTTCTCATCCATGGTGAAAATTGCTGCTGATGAGACGCTATTATTTCCTTCTGAAATGTTGAAAACCACAGATGTCATATTTACCATGCACTGTAATTGTTTACATATGATGCCCTCTTTTTAGCATCTGAACTTCCCAAGGCTAATCATCTTTACTCCTACAATAATGTGCTGGGTCCAAACCAACATTCTGAGCCTGCCCCAGATAAAGTATAATAGTTCTGTTTTAATGAATATCAGCAGATAGTAAAGAGTATATTAAACTGTTGCAAGCACTCTGGATTACAAAAGTCTTAGCTTTACAGCTGAAATTAGGAATACAACCTTAAGCTTTACGTTCTGTTAGTTGAATAAAGCAGGAGGCTGGAAATTAAGATATCTGAATTCTACACCCAACTATACTTTTATATTTCCACAAGTGTGTGACTATGATTTACTTTCTGGATTTCTCACACAATATACATGAGTTGTCTATTACCTCTCACTCAAGGTGGGAATATCATGCCACCTTCCTAACCTGAAGTTGGTCCACCCTCCCTGCTGTGTGGCATCAGGCACCTGTCTCCATATTCTGTGACGTCTGTGTTTCCCCCCTCAAACACAAGGGCCCGTGTATTTTGGTAAATGTGCTGCCCAAGGGAGCACAGGGTTCCCAGATTTCAATCTGTATATCTGCAGTGACTAGAACTGTGTTTGCACATAAAAGACAATACGGTTAGTCAAATGAGTTAATTGGTTTTCTAAAACTTGTTTAAAAGTTTGTCTATGTATATATGAGTGTGTCCATTATACCATCATAAGTCAGTTTTCAAAATAATATAATTCAAAAATGTTTTAACTAGCTCACCAAATTTTTGATTATCTTTCCTAATTCAGAGATCACGAAGCATGTATTGTATGGCAGGCACTAGAATATAGCTCCTCGTGGAGCTTATAGTTTGGCAAATCAGAGAAAAGATACATGTTATTAACCCTAATTGCAGTGTGAAGGCTCACAAGTAGAAACAAAATATAAGTAAACATTAGAAATTTAAATAACACTTATACTATGATTCGTATCTTGAATTATAAGTATTTCTACTCAATGAACCTGATTTCTTTGTTCAATTCTAGCTCTTTTTATTGCAAATCTCTTTACCAGCGATGATATAGATGGGACAGAGTTATTTACTCTTTTTCTGTGACATCTAAAGTAGACTAAATTACTTTTTAGCACTGTATCTCTTTAAAGGTCTCCGACTATTTTAAAACTATGTATGGAAGACTGGCATAACTGTATCTTGTTTTAAGTTACTGTGACATGTATTCTGCTTTCTCTGATAAGTGTGCTTTTACTTTTAGGAGGATTTTCTATGGGAGGGTGCATGGCTATGCACTTGGCATATAGAAATCATCAAGATGTGGCGGGAGTTTTCGCTCTTTCTAGTTTTCTGAATAAAACATCTGCTGTTTACCAGGTAAGTTCCAGATTAAAACCAACAACAACAACAAAAAAAGAACACAGAAAAATAACTATGAAATATTCACACATTGAAGCCAAAACAAAATTGATCAGTAACAATTGATGCACAGAGCATTTCTGGGAATTCATGGCCAAATGAGTCATGTGGCTGGTTACATTAATTACAGCTGGTTATTAATGTTCCAGAAATGACCTGTACAAAGAATATTGTTAAGATGTCAAAAGGGAGGGCCGGCCGAGTGGCGCGATGGTTAAGAGCTGGCTTGGGATGCCAGAGGGCCCCGGTTCGGATCCCACATTAGGGCCAGTGACACTGCGCTCCACAGCTAAGATGCTGAACAACAGCTCAACCTGGAGCTGGGCTGCCATGAGTCACCGGCGATGGCGTAGGCTGCAGCCCCTGTGGCAGTGGGTTGCCATGGGTACCGTATGTAGCCAGCAGCCAGCGTGAGCGGCCAGCAGCTGCAGTGAGCGGCCGTACAGAAGCCGGCGACTGATCTGCCTCACCTGGGAAGAGTGCAATGATGGTGCCAACTTGGGCCAGTGAAGCAACGTCCTCCACAACTAGACTGAAGAACAAAAGGACAGCAACTTGTCTGTTCCCCTTCCCCCGATTCCCCAGTGCTATTCCCCTCCCCCAATTCCCCAATAAAAATCTTTATAAAAAAAAAATGTCAAAAGGGAAAGGATAAAAGCAATACGTATGTGTTATATCTGCATCTTTTATGTATTAATATATTAAACCTATAGATGATCATAGCTAGGTTTTCTTATTATGTGTCATGAGCAGAATCAAAACAAAATCAACCCCACTGCTGACTGCCGATTCACAGCAGTATCCTTTCCTATGAATACGACACATTACAGTGTTGCAGCTCCATTACCAAAAGCAGAAACAGCAGATGTAGAAATGAGAAGTAGAATGCAGTTTTCCCCTGGAATGTACTTTAGCTCCGTGTTCGTCCCTCTTTCCCCTCTACGTGAAGAAGTTTGTCTTCCCAAGTCACACAGTTTCTCCAGGAAATGCTTTGATCATCTTTGAAACTCCTCTACGGGGTAAATGCAGGTACAGTGCAGCTCAAGTGGTGCCAGCACCCAGCCAGGCAGGCCTGGCACCCTCAGACAGCACCACCACTGCCTCTTTCTGCCCTCTAAATATTGATGCTTTGGTAAAATCGGACCTTTCCTGTTTTCTCTGCTTTCCAAGAATGATGTTCTTAAACGAATTTCTTAAACTTCTCCATTTTTGTATCCACTTCTCTAGGCTCTTCAGAAAAACGATGGTGTGCTCCCTGAATTATTTCAGTGCCACGGTACTGCAGATGAGTTAGTTCTTCATTCTTGGGGTGAAGAGACAAATGCCATGTTAAAATCTCTAGGAGTGAGCACGAAGTTTCATAGCCTCCCAGGCCTTTACCATGAGCTCAGCAAAGGTGAGCTAGAGAAACTGAAGTCATGGATTCTTACAAAGCTTCCGGGAGAAACGGAAAGCCAAAATGAATGAATCAGGATCGATTTGTTAATGATTATACATGTAATGTCTTTGTGAAAAAGTAATTTTACTGCAAATTATAACTTGATCAATGATAATTAAAATATTACAAAATATCAACAGTTTACTGACTTATTTCTTATTAAAATGCTTAGCACCATAGAGAGTAGTATAATCTTAGTAGGGGTAAACATTAATTTAGACAGACAGCTATATATCATTTTCAGATACATTTTTGTGAATATCTGTAGACCTTTTAAGTAATTAAATATTTAAAATTTTTTAAAGTAATATTTAAATAAGGGCAATATGAAAACATGAAAAGACTTAACATGGTATTATTTTATCTTTCCTACCACTTTGTTTGAATTGCCTTTTCCAAAGGTATTCATGTTTATGTAGTTTTCAACAGAGTAACATTGATACTCCAAGTTTATAAAGTGGCTTTGCTTGATCTCACTTGATCCTCAAGCGTTTGATGAAACAGACTGAGTAGTTGTTGTATTTCATAATAGGGCTAGAAAGGGTGGAAGACTTGCCCAGAGCCCCCAGAGCCAGTCCTAGCATCCAGGCCTTCTGCTTCTCAGTGGGGCCCTCTTTCCGTTAGACCAGATGTGTGCTCTGCTCTGGGCCTGGAGCCCCGGTTGCTCACCAGACCCTCGACAACACTTGGTACGGCCAGTCTTTCCAATGTATCCATTCTCGTGGGTGTGTAGTGGTATCACATGTGGTTTTAACTTGGCATTTTCCTAACAACTCATGATATTAAGCAATTTTTACATGCCTATTTGTGATCTATATAAATTCTTTGATTATATATCTGTTCAAATCTTTTGCCCATTTTTACTAGGCTGTTTGTTTTGTTACACTGTCAGGTTTCATACACACACACACATACACACACACACACATATATACAAGATACTCATCCTTTGTTAGATATTTTCCTTTTTTTTTTAGATTGTGGCTTGTGTTTTTTTTCTTTCCAGTGTAATTCAAAGAGCAAAACTTTTTAATTTAAGTCTGGTTTATTCATTTTTTTCATTTACATTTTTTGTGCTTTAGCTATATTAAAGAAATCTTAAGAAAGCCAAGGTCACTAAGATTTTCTCCTATATTTTCTTCTAGAAGTTTGATAGCTTTAGGTCTTATATTTAGTCTGTGATCAATTTCAAGCAAATTTTTGCATTAGGATAAGAGCATGTATCTGGGTTCAGTTTTTGCATACCCAATTATTCCAGCACCATGAGTTGAAAAGACTCTTTCTCCTCCAAATGGATGAAAGCCCCATTGTTCCTGCATATACAGGTGAATTTCTGGACTCTGCTGGGTTCCGTGGATCTAGTTATCTGTCTTTACAGCTGGTAAAGACTTGATTACTGTAGCATTGTGGGTAAGTCTTGGGTTCAGATTGTCTACATCCTGTAATGTGGTTACTCATTTTTAAACTCATGTTTTAAATCTATTTTTTATATCTACTTTTCCCAGTGCTGTTTATTCCTGAATATAGTTTCATATTTCCATATGGTATTATTTCCCTTCTGCCTGAAACACTTTAACATGTATGATAGTGCCAGGACTCTGCTGCTCTTAAATTCTTTCCACTTTTGCATGTCTAAAAAAGTATTATTTTGCCTTTATTTTTGAAAGATAGATACAATTCTAGGTTGAAAGGGTTGTTTTCCTCTTCTTTCATTACGTTAACGATCGTACATTGTCTTCTTGGGTGGTATCAGAGCAGCCTTTGCTCTGGACTGATTTGGCCTCCTTACTCAAGCAGCGGCGTGTAGCGGCGTGTCTCTGAGTGCTTGTGCTCTAGCTGATGGGCTCTAGCTGACGCGTGCTGGGCTGCATGGGTTTACCCTCCGGCTTGTGCAAACACCCCCTTTCCAAAGCCCTCTGTGAACCCCAGGGACCGTGCCTTCCGTTCTTCTCAGGTGGCTCACACTTTCCTCACACGTCTGATGATGAGCGGGATCCTCTGCCGCTCTAGCACTCTCTGTGCAGCTCCCTAATACCCTGTTCTATGGCCTCTGAGCTTCGTGACCCTCTGGACTCCTAGCTGTGTCTCCTTACTGGGCTCCATCTGTGTCTCCCTCCCCACAAAGAAGCCCAGACACTCTTCACAGAATAAGCTGGGCCTTTGTAGGTCTCACCTCATGTGTTTCTCCTCCTCAGGGGACGACTGCCTGTGCTGCCAGTGCCCGATATCTGAAAACATACACTTCGTCCAGCTTTTTCATTGTTTCGGGCCGAAGCATAAATCGGGTCCCTGTTACGCCATCTTGGTGATAATCAGAAGCCCCTTTATTCCTCTTTTCTTTAAAGTTATAAACTCTAAATTTGAAGAGGGAGGAATGCAGAGAGAGACGGAGGGAAGGAAAGAGAGGGGACGGAGGGAGGGAGAGAGACTGAGAATCTCACTAATAAAATCCGAAAAGGACTCAGTTCATGCAGTGTTTCATCTTAAGCTTTTAATGACCTTCAACTTCTTGCAATTTTAAATACATTGGCTTGAATATACGTGGATCAGTCATGTTTAAAACCCTTATGGCTACAGTTTGCCTTAAGAGTAACATATGTACGTGTCATAGATAAAGAGTGTCAGGCCTGTGAGTGTTGAGTGTATACATACATACCAAATATAGTATAAGGCAAAGGAATCTAGATTTTTTTTTTTAATGAATACTCGTCCTGTCACTTAATACTCATGCATCCTGGGATAAATCTCCACCTCTGCTGCAGAGTACTCTTTGGTGAAGTTGTGTGAGGATCACGTTATAATAGCATATGTGAAAGCCTTTAATAAAATGTCAAGTTAAACAAATTTAAGGTATGACTAGGATAGTTTTGCCAGAGATGGAGGGGTGTGTGCATGTAATGGTCATAAATCTCCACGAACTGATCCATGCATGGAATATCTCTCTGAATACTTTATATAGATAATCTTCCAATTCCGCTCTCCAGCCCACTGGGCTGATAGGATATTCATTCTGTCATGAGCTCTTTTACCTCATTCCAAATCACGTAAGGCCTGGGTCCCCTTACACAAGGCAGTATGTTCAGGGGAGGCCCTCCAGTATGACTCCCACTCACTAATCTTGAGATTCCCGCTGTCCATATGTGTGTGGTCTCTTAAAGCGTGGAAGAGCCTTCTAAGGCTAGGAACAAAACACCTGGTTTCAGGTTTTATCCTCCTGGAAACCACTCAGCCCTTCTCCTGTCTGGTCCCAAACCTACTTGTTGCTTCACCCACATAAACCTTTCCTAAGGCAAGGAGTTGAAATAGCCTTGGTACATGGGAGAGGAAAAACGGCAACAAGAAGAAAGCATGAATCAATCAATTATGTGTGTTTCTGTGTTAGGGAGACTGGAATGTTGGGAGGGAGGAGAGAGAAAGCTGGAGTGTGAGTGAAGAGATGCTTTTACTCTATATTTCTTCTGTTTGAATTTTTATCATCAGCTTTGTTACGTTTTGTCATCCTTAAAGTGAAGTCAAATGTTTCCTGGTAGCATTTGTTCTCTACGCAAGACTGAGTAAGAGAGATCATTATCCGTGGTAAGGAAGTTAAATGCGTTCCTTATAGGAAGTTGAATATTTCAACTGGTGTATTACAGAATACGCTGAGAACACAATATGAAGCCAACTGGCAAATTTGACTATTGAGACGCTACAGCACTTTGATATGTGAAAGAAAATGTCCAGATATCATTTAGCCAGAGTATATTTAAACAAGAAGTCTTTATCATATAAAAGGGGTTTCTTGCCATACGATAAGAGAACAGATTTACTCAAGCCATACAAACATTTCAAAAAAATACCGATAGTACACAAACATGCCAAGAGAATTCAGATTATATGATACACAAAGACAGCTGGTTCACCAGACTTGAACTCAGAGTAGCTTTACCACGGGAAGAGCTAGAAATGTATTTACTGAGAACAAATGTACTATTACGTACATTTCGGTTCTACGTCCCTATTTACCCCTCAGAAAGAGGTTTCTGTGGTGACACACATATAAACTCTTCTGAAGACAAGGTGTGGCCTTAGCGTATTCCTACACCGAGGGTAAGATGCAGACTCATGCATGCATCATCTCTGTCACACTTGTTAAAATGTACCATTTCGCTGCAGCCAGATCAGTTCAATGTCTTTCGTATGGCAGTGAATTACAACTGTGTAAACAGGGCTTCCAGCACCAAAATAAGGCCCACATGCAGCACAATTGGCTATCATCTCTAGAAAGCTTTCCCGAATTGCCTTCTTTTGGGAAAGATCTCCACAGTCACTTGAGATCTACGTGAGCTATATGTGGTATTTCCTAACACGCTTGAAAGTCTCCGATGGAAGATGAAAGTCACCATGTTTTCCAAAGAGACAAGTGAGCACCTATTTTACAATTGTCAGGCCCCCTCCACTGAATAAGTGACAGCCATGGGTAAGATCTGCGGTGGGAGATGATGCTTTTTGTTTTTACCATCATTTATGTCTCTCTCTTCCCCATAAGCTCCTGAAGTGTTCTCTTCTGAGCTCCATGAATAGTTGGCTTTTCCTCCACTTGCAAGTAATATATGTTCTACTCTAGTAGCTGTCACTTTACTTTTTTCCATTTGTCCCCTATGCATACCCAGACTTTTCACCCAGAAGGGTTGAGTACAAGAGGGACAATAGTATTTCTATAAAACTTAGAGGCCCACATGGACCACCGTAGGGGGACATACAGCTGCCGCCCTCATTTCTCCTCATTAAGAGGAAATAAGATGGAAGACCATTTATTGCCCAATTGACCATACAATTTGGTCAACATGTTTGCGACCATTTCCATGGACTTCCTGCACATCCTGTAAATCACCCTGCAAAGCCTTCATGCTTTCCTTTCTTAGCCCTTGAGTACATTAGACCATGAGTGTGACATTTCAGTCGAAATACCGAGTCAACTTTTACAAAAATACAAAATATTTTAAAATATGTTTTCTTTCTGCTACCCTCACCTTATTATGTGCATTGCTTTCTGATTGTATTTAGTCCTTTCATTTTGGATTGGTTGTGAAAGCCATATGTGATTTTTATATTGGGAATAGAATTAATGGCTCTATGATGAATACTGGACATCCTG